TTCAACACGTAGAAATGGCACTAAGACCATGAAGAACAAAGTTTTAAATGAATGCGTAGATTTAGTTACTATTCACGGTCGACCATTGAATCTAATTAATGATATTGCGTTTCAAAATCTCATTCATATGATATCGTCCGTGGCAACTTCGAATATTTCTTCACAAGAAGTAAGAAATGCCGTTGTAATGAAAGCACAATGCTTTCGGGAAGAGGTAGCGAAGAAACTAAAAAATAAATTAGTATCATTGAAAATTGACGCCGCGACCTGTATGGATCGCTCTTTTATAGGAATAAATGTGCAATACATAGAAAAAACACAAGTTGTCTTACACACTCTAGCAGTGCAAGAAATTTACGATCGATATACAACTGCAAACTTAAAAGATATATTAAAAAATGTACTTTTAAGATACGGAATATCTGTGAGGCAGATTTATTCTATAACGACGGACAACGGATCTAATATGATTAAACTTGTTGAACTTCTTGGGGAGGATCAAGAAGAATTAAAATATAATGAGGAAAATCATATTGAACAGCTAGAACTTTCATTGTCAAATGAAGAACTCAATTTGGATAATGAAGAAAATAAAGAAAATATAGAAGAAGTAATATATCAGGTCAGATCAGTGCGGTGTGCAGCTCATACACTGCAATTAGCAGTATCGGACACACTAAGAGATAGTACAATTTCGGCAATTATATCCGAAGCGAGAAACGTCTGCAAAAAATTACGGTCGCCGGTTGGTAAAAGCTTCCTGAAAGCAATGAATAAAAACAAACCGATCCTGGATTGTCCAACACGGTGGCACTCAACGCTAGATATGCTCGAGTGTCTTTTAGAATTAAAAGAATGTTGTGATGGTAACGAGATAAGGATCAATATTTATCTCCTGAAAAATGAGCCGAAATTAAAAACATTGTGCGTTCTTTAACGCCAGCTCGTATTGTAACCAAGAAGTTGCAAGAAGAACAACTTCTTATCGGAGATTTTTATCGCACGTGATCACAATGTATGCTAGAAACTACGAAATTAAAAACAATATTACAAAACAAATTAATTGAACATATGAAAATACGAGAAAAACGTCTGTTTGAAAGTGATTGTTTTTTGGCAGGTATGTATATTCCTCGATGTGCGATGTAAACTCATCAAGTGTATGAGAGTTTGAGACAAAAATTTTTAATATTGATGTTTTCTT